TGTCAGTCTGCAAGTAATTTACTTTTATATAACACAGTGCCACTTAAGGTTTAAAAATCATTTCATATAAATGGCTAAATCTGTTCCTGGTATAACTCCACTGAAGTGTTGAACAATGTATCCTACTGGTGATCTTACAGAAGGAAGGTAAGTTATATCAGAAATCAGTGTGACTGGAGACCAGTGAAAAAGTTTACCCTGTGCCAGAGGGCCAGCACGAGGCTTATGCTCCCACTTAAGTCCCATTTAAACCCTATTTTGAGAGCTTAAGTGGTGTATAGGCCTTGTACAAGCCTCTGCACAGGGGAAAATTTCACCCTTTGCCTGAAATCACAGGTGTTTGAAAGTATAATGCAGTAATATTGCCTTATAGGCTGTAGATTATGATACTTATCTTCCTTTGTAAAATCCTTCTGAGAGTCCATAGAGTTACGCTTAGTATATACCCACAGGCTGGGATTCTGTGCTGTGCCGCCTGGAGACACAGCACAGAAGATGCAGCTCACCGGGAAGGAGGGCAATGGTGGCTGACACTCTTGCACCATCCCAGTTTGGGGCTTTGTTCCCTAGCACAGCAGTGCACAAACAGGGGCATGCCCTCCGGGGGGTGGGGTGGGGGCCAGGGTTTCTTGGGAAGGGGGGCCATGAAGAAATATCAGATTTTGGCCCTTTTAAAAAACAAAAGTGATATTTGTGTTTCACAGCACTTACTAGTGCCCCTTGCCACCCTTACTTCGGCGCTGCTGCCTTCAGAGCTGGGCAGCTGGAGAACAGTGGCTGCTGGCCAGGGCATTCGTGTTGTTTGCGGTACGGGAGGATCATATTTTTTAATCCTGCTCCCATCTTGCCCCACAATACCCGCTCCCACATTGTTTGTTGAAATTTTTATTCCACTCCCACTATTATGGCAGCAGGTCCTATGGGGTCCCAGAGGGGAAGGGCATGACAAATTCTATCAATGATAACGGGGGGCATGACTGGAAAAGTTTGCACACCACTTCCCTAGCATAAATGAGAACAGTCAGGAGTGGCTCTACTTTATGGTCTTCTCCTGCCCAGGGCTGCCTATGGACTAGTCATCTGAGTTCAGTATGAAGCATTCCCCTCATGACCATGGCATGCCCTTGCAATGGAGTCATGAGGAGAACTGCACAGTGACTGCACTGGGGAAATTCTCCCCCATGTGGCTGTGGGGCTTTTATTGTTAGTCAACACCCTTTGTGCTGGCACAGGGGCATAGAGGGGCCATCGTGGAAGCTAGAATTTCACTTAGATCAGACTCTATCCCAGATGTTAAGAATGAAAATGAGATAAGAGCATAGGGATTAAAAATGTCAAAAGGAAAAGGAAAAAAAAGAATGACACACATTTAAGGTTAATGACCTTTTTATTTAATTCAAGCTCTTACATTTTATTGTACATTCCTGGCAGGAAAGTGGGAATTGAAAGAGGAAGAAAAGTGTGGATTTTATTAATTTAATCCTCATAAGATCCCCTTTTTCAGTCTTCTGCCATCTTGAATAGCTGACAGAATTTCTCTGTTACCATTTGGCTTGATAATTTTTGTCAATTTTTGAAAATGAGGCTGGTCCAGTTAGATGAGGTAGGGTGATGTGATTTGCAAGGTCCAATGTTAGGACTGTAAGGACCCCTCATCACATTCAGTGGCCCATGGGAGGATATGGATGACTGTGGTGTACTCTGGTATGTTTAGCTGGTAACTGTTCTGGCTTTTTTTTTTTTTAGTCTACAGAGGTAGCTATCATTTTGTAGGGCAGAAGTGATGCACTGCACTACAGAGGGGACATACATTGTTGTCACTTTACATGTATTCATTCTTTGGTTTTGTTGTTTCCCTTTTAGCCAAAAGAAAGTTATGTTGTTCTTTGTATACGGAAAAAAAAAGCTGTCAATTAATCGCAGTTATCTCAAACAATTAACATAAAACAAATTAACTCAATTAAAAAATTAATCGTGATTAATCGCAGTTTTAATTGCACTGTTAAACAATACTAGAATATCAATTATAATTTATTATAAATATTTTTGGATGTTTTTCTACATTTTCAAATATATTGATTTCAATTACAATACAGAATACAAAGTGAACAGTGCTCACTTTATAATATTTTTGATTACAAAAATAACGTAATAAAGATAAACACTGTAATAAAGATAAACAAAATAAATAGTATTTTCAATTCACCTAATACAAATACTGTAATGCAATTTCTTTATCATGAAAGAGCAACATACAAATGTAGAATTTTTTTATATATATAACTGCACTGAAAAACAAAACAATGTAAAACTTTAGAGCCTACAAGTCCACTCAGTCCTACTTCTTGTTCAGTCAATTGCTAAGACAAACAAGTTTGTTTACATTTACAGGAGATAATGCTGCCTGCTTCTTATTTACAATGTCACCTGAAAGTGAGAATAGGTGTTCGCATGGCACTGTTGTAGCCGGCGTTGCAAGGTATTTACATGCCAGATATGCTAAACATTCATATGCCCCTTTATGCTTCAACTTGTAGATTGCACTATATTTTGTTTATCTTTTTTTACAGTGGAAATATTTTTAACGGTGCAATTAATCGCAATTAATCGCAGTTTTAATTTTTTAATTGTTTGGAACCCTAAAAAAAAATACTAACAAACTATATTCCTATATTGCTGTTACTTAGAAAAATGCAGTCCCAAATTTTCAACTGTCCTTGCACATGATGCATAAGTTAGGACTCCAAGCAAAACTTGCTACACTTTTTTAAGAATACTGTGACAGGGTCTGCTTACCCCGCACTAGCCCAGACAGGGTTAAGCCCATATTATTGACAGCGGAAGTCACGCCTCCCTGGCGAGACTGGGCATGCTCCAAATGCTCTAGCAGTATAAAGGAGGGGCCCAGCTCATTCTGGGCTGGAGGCCTCAGGGGAAGGACCTGTCTGGGAAGCTCCTGCGGAGGGTCAGCCACAGCCCCTGACTGCACTGGGAATCAGAGCTGCCATGGGCCCGCCTGCACCCCGGCGACTGGAGGAGCCATCGGAGGCGAAGGGCCCCGCTGACCACAGAGAACCTGACATCTCAAGGGAGACCCCAAGGCAGACTCTGGTAGGAAGTGACCCAGGTAGGGTGACGGAGTGGTACCTCCCACCTGAGAAAACTCAGCGTGTTTCGGTAGGACGCCCCGACTGAATCAGTGGCAAGTTGTTACACCACTGTTAGGGCCCTGGGTTGGGGCCTGAAGGAGTCGGGTGGGCCTGGGTCCCCCTACTGGGGCTGCCACACCCCTTGGTGGGTGCCCCCAACTTTATAGACTCTGGCCACTAGGCCACGCTGCCCTGCACCAAAGGGCCGCTTTACAGACTCTGGCTGTTAGGCCATGCTGCCCTGACCCTAGGGGCGTGGACCGTCACAAATATATTAATCAGTCCTACATCAATGAGCCCAGCAATTTGGGTTCATATGTATCAGTCAAGAGTCCACTTTAAATTTCCTATACTTTTAATTAGTAGAAATAAGGGTTTTGTTTATAAAATAGTGTCTTGTCTTCGTTTTGTTCAGAAATTATTTGTAACCATATTTGTTTCAATTAAGTGTCACCATCCAGTATTTTGTTGATTTTTTTTTTTTAATGATTTCTGTAGTAATTTGTAATACTGTGTTATAGCTCAGCATCATACATTTGTAATGTAATAAAAAGTGTCCTGGGGTATTCACCTTAATTACTTTTTAACTTGCAATGACACATCATATCAAGTACCCCATATAAAACAAATTATATTCCACTGTGGTTCAGATTTTCTGACTGCACTTGAAGCAAGGATGGTCTGAAAACTTCTGCTTTGTAAACTGTAATAACACTGGACATTTTAACAAATACTGCAGTAAATAAATGCCGCACAGTCAAGTGGTGGATCCCCAATGGCTGGAAGCCACTGGACAAGATTTGCAGGAGGGCAAGGTGCCAGCAGCCATCCTCTTTCACTGGTATTGAACCAGCCAGTGCAGCCTAGAAAGTCAGCAAGACTCGTAGGTTTGGCCAGGGCAGCCAAAAGATGCCTTTATTCAAGCCATCTTCTGAACAGCCTTGACTACCAGGACTCCTGTAGAAACTTGGAGCCCCCTACCCAGGTTGAACCTATGAAGGCGGTGATGTCAGGAATGGTCTAGTTAATACTTAGCCCTGCCTTAAATGCAGGGGACTGGACTAGAGGACCTACTGAGGTCCCTTCCAATCCTATACTTCTATGATTCTATGGAATGAACAATGCCTGCCCTTACCTGGGGAGAGGAATCCTTGTCTGGGGTGCAGCAGCCCACTTTGGTGCAAGGGGGTAATACCCATCCCCACTGCACTCACTGTGATGACTCAATCTGAAAAAGGGTAGTTTAAATGCAAACAGCTGTCTTAATGCAACATTCTGGATGAGCTTCTAATTGCACAAAGCTCAGAGTACCAAGTTACATAAAGTACAAAGCCAGAGGAATATAGCAGGACAAAACGTAACAGGATTATGTAAATTATGACTGTACCCCACACAGGACCTGATTCTCCTCTCACATGTTTGATAGTAATGTAACTGCACAACTTTCAAGTTGAGTTATTCATGATTTATGCTGGTGGAAGTGAGATCAGGATAAGGCCGACACACGTTAACTGACATCTTCCATGGGCTCCAAGCGTAAATTACCCCAATTTATACTCTTGTGCCCATATAACAATGTAACATATGCCAATTTGCACATGACGTATGAACTTGCCCCACACAGTGCTGTAACCAGGAGTCTCAGCAATTTATGGTGTGGAGGAAGTTAGTCAAGGAAGACTGGAAGTTATGAAAGGGGGAAATTTCTGGGTAGAGAAGGAAGTGGGTGGGTCAGGGTGACAAGTACAGAAGCCCAGAGCTACTTATATATAAAGAAAGCTTCCTACTAGCTTCCCCATTGCCGTTCCTTTGATAGCTTCACTCCAGGGACTAGTTGTCATCCATTGCAACATGTGGGCAAAGGTATTGCTTTGTTTTTCTGCATTTTAAGTCTGTCTCTTCATTTTAACCTTTTGTATCTTTGCTGTACATTCTTCAGTAGGCTCGTGTGGGGCCTGTAGTTCATCTGCTTTAGGTTTCTTATGTTATTTAACAAAAAAAAAAAAAAAATGGAGAAAATCACACAGATTTGATACACAAAAGTGTATTCCTTCTTTGTTCCATCAATATATTAGCCAGAGTGAATCCTGTTATTCAGAGACATGGATTTCTGAGAAGATAGTGGGTAAGAGGAGTAATCAGGGAGCTGCGGCTGTTGGGGGATTTTGCTCTGTTGGTGTAATGGGGAATTCTGCTCAACTGAATGATTTAATCATTATGATGTAAATTAGACCCATCTTGGAAAACAAGGAACCCAAATCAGAACTATTTTTTGCAGCATTATTTTTCACCTTTCCTTTTTAAAGTATTTTTAGTAACTATAACTCTTGGGGAAGGTACCAGGTTGACAGCCCCGGCAAATGACGTATGCTATTTATTCTCAAAACATCAGGTCCCCAGAGACAGCAGCAATGGAAGCCCATCCACAACACCCTCACAATATCAGTCCTTTTCTGGAAAGAACACCTCGAGGGTTGAAAAGTGTCTGTGCATTTTATCACTGGTCTTTTCTACTACGACTGACCAACAGGGTCTCAATTCCTACCAACTGTCATGATGGTTTCTGTGATACAGACAATTGGCCTCCAAGATCTGGACTGATACCACCAAACTAATTTCACATCTATCTGGTAGTTATAGCCCCCGTTGCCAGAGTATCTGAGCAGCTCACTGTCTTTAATGCATTTATCCTCACAACACCCTTGTGAGGTAAGGAAGTGCTATTCATCCCAATTTACAGATGGGGAACTGGAGCACAGAGAGACTAAGGCCCAGATTTTTAAAGGTATTGAGATATTGCTCTGCTCAGCATTACAAGGTCCAAGTGACTTAGGGTCTGTCTATACTGCAGCCAACATTGTAAATTCTAATTCAGGCAGCCATGTGTGTACTAGCTTCCATCGCACTCTATCTGTGGCAGTGTGGGCAGCTGGGTATAGGAGGAACCACGAAGAGCATCTGTCCCTCCGATAAAAGTGCATTTTTTCAGAACTATTGATCCCACTCTGAAAAGTATATATCGTAATGTGAGAATTTCTGTCTGAAGTACTGTAATAGCACTGAGATGCTATTGACCTAGTGGCTCATGATGGCAGCTGCACCTCCATGCCTAGACCTCTTGTATCACCCAAGGTTCTATCCTCACCCCAATCCAAGTTAACACTGGGGGGAGATTCTGAGGTGTCACTGATTTCAGTGCCAGCAATAGCTGGATGAAGCCAATCTCTGCTTGGGATGTTGAAGGAAATGAAACAACTCCTACCTCTCCCAGTGCTAGAACCAGATTAACACCTGAATTAAGACTGAAACTAAACCTGGGCAAGATAGAGATGATGGGCTGGAACCTCCACTCTGCTTATGCAGTGCAAAGTGAACTTAGACAGCCCAGAGAAACCCCCTGGAGAATTTGCTAGGTGTAGGGAGAATCTCCAGCTGGTATAAAGCAGGCAGAGGGGGCTTTACTGTCTCCTGCACAGGCTCTACCACCCACTAATGACACTTCCTCCACCAAAGCTGCATTGTCTGCCATAAATGGAGGAGGGGCCATGTTGTGGGCAGGGAGAGGGTGTGTTGGCTGAGGGCAGGTAAGGCGTAGGTCAAAAGGAATGAAGGGGTCAGGTGAGGAGATATGCTGGAGTGAGGTGCTGTTGCACCTGATTCTCTGTTAAAGTTACTCCCCCTGCAGCCTAAAGTTATGCCAGGGTTGGACAGAGCAAAATCAGGGAGCTGACATCAGATCCCTGTCAGTCCCCTCCCCCCCCCCCCCCCCCCCCCCCCCCCCAGTCTGTCCTGCACCTGAGCTTTGCTTGGGCACAGGGGAGAATTGAACCCATTTCTGGGATGGGGGGGGGGAATATTTTGAAGAACCAGCCAACATCATAATCTCACCCTCAATTGAAAGGTCTGCCCTAAAGATGGCATGCAGGCTTACAGACTCTCTGTTATTAGATGCACAAAGACCAACAACTACTAGAAATTCCTCCTTCCATCTAAAGCTAGTCAAGCAACTATGTTCTAGTTTGACAGATGCAGACTTGACCACAGTGATTTATGCAATCACAACTGGTTCTCTTAACCACTATGGTGCACTGAAAGCAGGGTCCTCATCACCTCAAGGATTAAATTTCTATTTCATCTCCATAACTTCCCCACAATAAAACCCATCACCCAATAAAAATAACTAACTAAAGGATATGAAAGGGACAAGGTGGGTGAGGTAATATCTTTTATTTGGCCACCTTCTATTGGTGGAAGAGATGAGCTTTTGAGCTCCACAGAGCTCTGCAAAACTTTCACAAACAGAAGTTGGTCTAATAAAAGATATTACCTCCCCCAACCTTGTCTCTATTATCCTGGGACATACATGCCTACAACAACACTGCAAACATACATTGAAGTTTGACAATGAGAGAAAGAAGGAAGCAAGAGTGGGTGTTGGAAGGAGATGGAGAAAGAGAAATAAACATATTCCTGTATGCTCACTGGAAAAGAGGGGAAGTGAATCAAAGCTCAGCTAACTTAAACCTTTGGTTGACTTTATGTAATTTGTGTAAGTCAGTCATCTACAAAGTGATGGAGGCAATATAAATTATTGGTGAGTAAAGCCAGAACATTAAAAGTGCCATATTTTAGACTTGAAAGAATAAAAGCAAAACAATTTAGTAGAAATAAAATGTTGGAGTTTTTTAATGTTTTCTTTTAAATTAAGACCTCTCTTTTTTCCCCAGACTGTCACTGAAAATTTTGGTAATGTTATCCATGGTTTGAAAGCGAGCCACCTGACAGATCTAGTCATTCAGAGAAGCAAACGGATGATCCTGGATACTCTGGGAGTGGGGCTGCTGGGTACCAGCACGGAGGTCTTCCACAAAGTTATACAATACAGTAAAGTAAGATCTTTGAACTTCACATTATAGAAAAGTTGTGGCTAAAAGAAAATTGAGGAAAAAGTAAATTTAAGATATTAAGGAAAAATTCCCAGTGGTGAGCTCTATTAGATGGTGGAATAGTTCCCTTGGAGGTAGAGAAGCTCCATTGCTTGAGTTACTTAAACTTACGCTGGACAAAGCACTAGAAAGTATGCTATATGGTAAATCCCTGCACAGCAAGCAGAGCATAGACTAGATAACCTACCAGGTCCTTTCTCTCACATCTGAGATTCTAGGAAAAATATCAGCAAAACAAACAATATTAAGAAGACTGTTCTAAAATGTTATAATGCACAGGATACAGGAATATTAAATACACAACATTGTTAAGGTCATTTCTATTATATAATATTCTGCTGTATAGAAACTTTGGCTCTGGTTCCCCTCCAATCTCCTTTCACTTACACAAGGGAAACTCTTTGCACTTCACTTCCTAGCATAAATGAGAGATGGTTCGAACCTATTGTTTTATTTTAGAAGACCATGGTGGGTTAGGATTGTGTTCCAGAAGTCTGTGTGCAAAGAGGACCTTCCCAAGTTGACTGGGGCTTAGCTGCCTCCTGGCACTTTATCCTTTCCTTGAATCCAATGGAGGCCTCTCCAGTGGTTCAGGGATCCATGTAGGGGGAGGGACAGGGACTTGATGGGCCAAGGGTGGTGCAGGTTGTCCAGAAGCAGGAGGCCACACATTGTTCACCCCAGCATCCAGGGGAGATTGCAAGGAAAAGCCTGAGTCTCTCATTTTTCCCAGAGACTCTTTGCATGGGGGAATGTCTTTCAAGGGGATGGGGAAAGACCCTGGGTGTTGTGGCCGGTGGAGCTTGATGGAGGAGATACCAATGACTAAAGACACTGTGGAGGCACAGAATTTACATACTGATGGCCCTGGCCTCCTGTGATCCCCTGAGATCTACAGGGTAGAGGGGTGGGTCCCACGGTTTAGTTTGCAGGACAGCAAACTTTCTCACCACATCTCCTGATTGAACACTGTAGTGGAGTCACAATGAGGCAACATTCTTGGGGCTTTCCTCTCCCATGGGAGGGTGCAAATTCAGTCCCAAAAGGTCAGATTCTGATGTTAGTTACAGCAGCATGGATGCAGATTAACTACATTACTAAAACTAACTCCATTACCAAAATATTCTGTTACCTTCAAGGAAATTACTCTGCATGTAATTTGGTAATCTGGTGTTACTGTGATCAAAATCTGGCCCTATGTTTCTGCACCCTTTGGTTATCCTGATTATTCCACGGATTTAATCTCAACAGCTGGTAAAGATAATTGCCTTGTAAATAATGAAAACAGTAAGAGTGAGGCACAATGTATTGTCTTATGCTTGAGTTCAGTATTTTGCAGTAAATGATATCAAATTACTCCCAGATCTACCGGTCAGATGCATCCAGCACGGTTTGGGGTCACTCGGATTTCAGACTTCCTCCTCTGTATGCGGCTTTTGTGAATGGAGTAGCTGTAAGAAACATCTTCTTTCTCTATTCTACATCTGCTTTTATATGCTATATGCAGTGATATTTTACATTTATTTTCACTACATTTGTTAATTTACTTCATCCTGGTGGCTGATGCCAGATTTACAGCCACTATAAAACACCCCTAGACTGTCCTACCAATGTGCCTCAACTTTATTCCAGGGACCAATTTTTAAGGGTGAAATACGATACTTCATTGTCCATCTTATGACACTTGTATTGTGGTAGTATGTAGGGGCCATAATCAAAGGTGAGGACCCCATTGTGCTAGGCACTGTACTTACATGTCACACAAAAAAAATCTAGCTCCCATTGATTTCAATGAGACCTAGATTTCACACACAGCAGGCAATAATATAGAAATACATTATACACACACACTGTATCATAGCAATCACAAATATATACAAGAAAATATTCTAATCTTCAGTCACACATGTTGAGAAAAACTATATATTTTGTACATACTTCATTTTATCAATAAGTAATGATTGGCTCCTCAGAAATTTAGCCCAAATTCAGACCCAATCTGAAGTTAATGGCATTCCACTTATACCAGATTTGAATTAGACCTATTTTGAATTATACAAAGCTAGTGAAGGTGCCAATCTGGGGAAATGGTATATTAGAAATGCCCAAACTAGTGTGACAATGAGGTCATAAGTCAAATCAGACCTCTCATTTCAAATGGAGGAAAAATTATTTTTAAAATGACACTTAGCACCCCTAATGGTCTAGGAGGTATTCAAGTATGACAGTTAATACATTCAGAATGTCCAAATCCTATATATGATAATTCCTCATGCCTCAAGGTCATAGGTCAAACATAAGACCTCACTGAACATCAAAGGAAAATTGCTTTACCAGTAGCATAAGGTATAACCTTCAGCTCCCATTAGGACAGGATGTTTTCATAGCTGACCTCAAAACTCTTCAGGGCAGGAACAGTGTCTACTTCTGTTTGTACAGCATGTAACACAACAAGGACCTGACAGGCTCTCTGTGTTACCATAACGATAGGGGGCATTGGTAGTGACCCCTGTATTTGGATTGCCTGACATATTCCATTATAAAAGATTCTTGCCACCTTTCTTGAGATGGGCTAATACAGCCTTTGTCTGCAGCAGGCCTTTGGAATGTGGCAAGGTAATAGCCCGCAAGCAAGAAAAGTGTCTTTTGTCCCTTAAATTCCATCCAGGTTTTGCTGAGATATAAATTATTAAAAACATCCTTTCCCTGTGTGGCTGAAGTTCCTGAGGGAAAACTTTGGCAGCCTGCCAGAATAATAACTGAAGACACAAACAGTCTAAAGTACAGGACTCATGCTGCCGCTAAAGCAGCAGCAACAGCACAAACTGTACCTGGGAATACCTGTGAGCTGCCAGGGCAGCTGGAATGGGGTTGAGGAACCAGGCCACACTGCGTTGGACCCTCCCCTCCCCAGCCCCAAATGCCCCATGGATGCAGCACATGACCCTACGGGGCTAGTGGCCCATCCTAACTCTGGGATAACAGCCTTCTCCTGATACCAGCTGTTGCTCAAGTGGTAGAAATCGGTTGTGAGGGGCTGAAATCCCACTAATTATACAAGTTGGGGAGGTTGCTACAGTTACACATAGCAGGTTTTTTTCACCTTTTCCCCAGACCTAAGCAATTACATAGAAAAGGCTACATTGTTTAGAATGCAAAGCCAAGCATTCCTGAGCTAGGAGATGCCAGATTTAAAGTTGCCCATGCCATTTTAATTCTAGCCTTTATTCATAAACATGATACAGTCTTTCAGTGCATGGTCACATACTATTTTCATTCTCCTACCAGAACTCTGCCTCCTTCAGTGCACAGAATGAATTCACAAAGGGACAGAAATACGATTGCACAGGCAACTGTAAATCTGACATTTCCTAACTTTCAAGTGTTTTGAAACTGAAATAATATTCTTTTGGTATGTAATATAAATATTACATAACTAATGTCTGCATTCATAAGCCTACTTCTGTTGTCACTTAGGGCTGGTCTACACTAGAAACATTTTACCGGCATAGCTATGTCAGTTAGGGTTGTGAGGTTTTTATAGATATACCAGTATAAGCTCTAGTGTGCAAGCAGTTATATGTGGAGCCCATCCCTATACCGATATAGCTTATTTCACTTCCTGAACCAAAATAAGCTATGCCAGTATAAGTAATTTTATACCGGTATAACTATGCCCTCACAAAGATTTTTTTTTCTGCTTAAATTATACCCATATATTTAAACCAGCAAAGCTTTCTAGAGTAGACAAGCCTGTAGAGTTATATTGCTTTAAAGCGGTGAAATCAAGCCCCCTCTCTGCAAAAAATATATATATATAATATAATATTCTCATTTTTCATTATCATTTTTGTGCATAGCTCAATAAAAAGAAAGCATAAGTAAAAATAAAGATTGTCCTGAAAGAAAATTAAATTCTTCAATGTTTATTTATATTTAGTTAAAATCTTTTCATTTGGCATTAGTTGATCTTGTCAGCGCAGACAGTGAATCTCTGATTACAAATCGAGGCCTCTCTCTTTCCCACAAGGTTCACTCAATGGATTTTGATGATACATGGCATCCAGCCACACACCCATCTGGGGCTGTGCTTCCTGCTCTGCTTGCTCTATCAGAAGTCCTGCCTCAAAAGCAAAAATTCTCTGGCCTCGACCTGCTCTTAGCTTTCAATGTAGGGATTGAAGTACAAGGCAGATTGATGCGCTTTTCCAATGAAGCCAGCAATGTTCCAAAAAGGTATGTAAAAGATATTTGAAATATAGTATTTGGGTTGAATGGAGATGCTATATTTATTCATTTTTTAATATAATTAAGATTAAGAGGTGAAAGCAATGCTCATTTCCAATCTCCAATTACTCTATCAGAAACCTCTCCCGAACTGCCTTTTTGTGACACTTTTTTTTCAAAGTCTGAATAAATTAATTTCTTTCATAGCTAGAGACAACTGGTCACTATCATCTATTCCACTTCAGGATTCAAAGTAATGAAAGTTGCACAGCTAATCTAATTTTCTATGCGGTTCCATCCAGAAATTCAAAAAACAAGAATTGAAGCCAATCTTTAAAAACAAAAACAAAACAAAAACACTCTATTGTAATTTTTTGCCTTTTAGAAGCACAATAAATGGCTTTATCTTTTTAGTGTGGGGGCACTGTTTGCTGTGCAGTCAGTGAGACATTTGAAAAGACTCCATTAGCCTTTATATTGATTCAAAATGGTGAATAAAGAATGATGCTAGGGGGAAAAAATCTCACTGTCCGTTTTAATCGGACATGGGAATGCATCTGATCAGGTCTTAATATGCAAACAGAAGACCATCACTTGCTCCCACAAATGAGGATTCATCTCTCCCTAGGACAAACCTTGGGCTCAGTATAATCCCAGAGTAAACAGGCTATAGACTAAAGATGGCCTCAAAGCAGTTCAGGGACAAAAAATTCCCTTCCACCAGGATGTACGCTTTGCTGTTGCTACCACAGCCTTAGAGTTCTCTTGCTGCTCTGCTGCTCACTACACACGGAGTAGGGGAGTTAGGGGTGGATGATAAAACAGTCACAAAGGGCCACATTCACGCAGGTACTTAGGTGTTGGCCCTATGCACTGGGCTATTGATATTCTGGACGTAGATGGACACACTTTTTCATGAGAGATCCAAGCCTGTAGGCATGTTCTGAGAATGCCTATAGAATTGGACCCCATTGGCAAGATTGGATGGGGGGACAGACCTGGTTTGAGAAGTCTGCTTCAGGGCCTTGGGGCTTCTGCTTGCACTAGGGCTCCATGCAGCTAATTAGCTGTTGGTGGTGTCAGGACTTAGTTGGCTTTTCACATGCCTGTCAGTGGAAATTCAGATGCCTGCAAGGTAAGTTGGCATCTGAGCAGAGTTTTTTTGAGAATGCCAGTGGTCCTCAATTTTGGTTAGATGCCTAAAGAGGCAGCTAGCCACCTCAGTACCTTGGTGAATCTTGTCCAAAGTCATTAAACCTGCCCTAAAGACTTTGTGTTCTTCCGCCCCACAACAGAACTGCACTCATTCCACTGTGTTTGAAGGTTCTGAAGAGCTTTGCCTCTGCATTAATAATAATATACAGCATTTTGGTTCAACATCTAGGCAAAACAGGAGCTTCTCTGGAGTTAGGACTTAGGGACTGGACCCTGAGCTTTTAAATATATGTTGATTTATGATCTGATCCAACTCTTACTGATGTTAATGGGAGTTGGGTGAGGCGCTTACAGAGAGTTATTTCCTAAAATTCACGTCTCTCCCTCTGAAATCTGGTAATGAAGAGCTGTTTTTTGTTTTCTCAGGTTTCATCCACCAGCTGTGGTTGGTACCATAGGGAGTGCGGCAGCTACTGCTAAATTGTTAGCACTTGATCAGTTTAAATGTAAAGCAGCTTTGGCTGTTGCTGCTTCTTATGCAGGTGCCCCAATGGCTAATGCAGCAACACAAACCAAACCCCTCCACATTGGCAATGCAGCTAGGCATGGCCTGGAAGCAGCTTGCTTAGCGTCACTGAGTCTTCAAGGAAACAAACAGATCTTGGACATGGAGTCAGGGTTGGGTGCCTTTTATACAGACTATACCCCCCAGTTTCTGCCAACTTTACAATCTTATTCCTGGCTCTTGGATCAACAAGATGTGGCCATCAAGCGCTTTCCTGCTCATCTTGGAACACACTGGGTGGCAGATGCAGTCTCTTCACTGAGGAAGCACCTCGTGGAGAGTGATGACTCAGTCCCCATTAGTAGAATTAAGAGAATTGTTGTCAAAGTCCCAGATGTTAGATACGTGAACCGACCTTTCCCTAACTCTGAACACGAAGCCCGGCATTCTTTCCAGTTTGCTGCATGCACTGCTCTGCTGGATGGCAGTATCTCCGTTCAGTCATTCAGTGATCAGAACATTTCTAGGCCAGAGTTAAAGGAGCTGCTCAGCAAAACGAAGCTAGAGCATCCTGCCGATAACAAGCCTAGCTTTGAAAACCTTTATTGCGAGGTGAATGTCACTCTTCAGGACGGCAAGGTGTTTAGTGAACGCTGCGATACATTCTATGGACATTGGAGGAAACCCTTGAGTACAGAAGATCTGAAGAAAAAGTTTCACTCCAATGCATCCAGCGTGCTCTCAGTGGAAGCTACAGAAGGCATTATAGAGACTGTGGATAATTTAGAAAAAATAGAAGACTGTTTTGTGTTAAGTGCATTTCTAAAAGGGACACAGTCAACCAAAGTACTTTCAAAAATGTGCTTACCATGAAAAATAATTGACATTTATTGACATACATCCTCATAGTTACTCCTATGCGCTTAAAACAAATCCGGAATAGAAAACTCCTATCATATTGCACTCCTGTAACGTGAGCAGCATTTTAAGTCCAATATTGTGGCTCTAGTTACAAAGATTGTGTTCTGCTGTAGCTGTGCCTTGCCACTGGCTGAAAGGAAGATCCTGTGCTGGCAGTGTCCCCCTTGATTATCCTTATACCAGTAGTAGAAAAGTGTTGTATGCAGGCTCCACAGAGTACACTGCTGCTGTGGGATTCCTGCTACCAAGTTCTCTGCTATCCTGGTGCCAGAAACAAAAGCCTCTTCCTAAATATCTTGCTTCTATTAGAGGATTTGGTAGTGCAGACCTGAATTTTGGAGGGATAGGGCAGTCACTGCTTCTGGGAGGGAAGCAGTTGACAGAAGGTCAGGTAGAGAATAAGCAATTTATAGCTAAAATATATAAAAATTCTATCTATGCCAAAAGAAAAACCCAAGACACCAAAGTTGTAGTGCTTGGTATTCTCCAAGAAACATCGCAATTTCCCCATCGAACTTGGTCTTGTATAAGCCGGGTTGACAATCACATCAATGGTAAACAATAAGATACCTCTTTAGTTTCCATATTTGGCTGCTCTAAAAACATAAGGACTCACTCTTGACAATCTGTTTCTTACTGTAGCCAAAAATTACACTCCTGTTTCGCAGTTATGTGGCGCTGGCTCTTTGTAACTCTGAGGTTGCCTTCACTATACCTTCCCTAACATCAGTCAAGTCACATTTCTCCAGCTGCAGTGTAGCTGACCAGACTTGTTAAGGAATGTATCCTTAGGATGCTTCCCTTGTCATTCATTGTCAGTACACAAGACTTGCATCATTGACAGGGACTGTCTAATCCGTCATTACAGGAAAGTTTTAGAGGGGGTTTTCACTTTTAAAAGGACAAAAATCAAGATTTAAATATTTTTAAATTAACAACACCGCTACTAATACATCCTTGCACATTTTATACTGAAGTCTATCAAATCAGATTTGTCTTTCTCCCATACAGAAATGTATATTTTAAGTCAGTAATCGTGACAATGCAGGCAGATGGATAATATCTTGGTTCATGTGCTTAACGGAACTTGTGCTTTACTGTGGAAGTCATGTGCACCATTTGTTTTCTGCTTTAAGGGACTAATTTGCATATTTGAGAATCTAAAAATAGGCATCTAGAGCCGTATTTAGGCACCTGTAATAGCATTTGAGTCTAGATTGCATATTTAGGTATCTACATTTTAAAATCAGGCTAGTTTAGGAGGAATGTTTGATACGCTCTTGTTACTGTTACATCTTGAAAAGGTGTGGATGGTAATGTGTCTGTAGTAATACAACTTTTAAAAGCTGTAACTATTTGTATGATTTTACTAAATATAACAACACTTTCTGTGATGTTTCAATTTTGTATATGAGCTATTTCTTCATAGGGGCAGATCTCTTCCACCCCTCAGCCACTTTCATATCCAGCCTGCACTGATCACTCACGATGTTATGCCTTTTGGAATTAAAGCCTGTGTTTAGGTAGATTTTGTTATGGTAGACAAAGGCCTTTCAGCATAGCTACCACCACATTAGAATCTAATCACTTATTATACTAAAAGAATGACCAGCTTCTGTGTATCTACAGTCGGCTCAGCTAGATGAGTGACTTCTGCAGGGCACCATACAAATGGCTGTTAGAGCACATATCACTAGTTACATAAGCCTGGATCCACAAAGGGACTTGGGCATTGCAACACTGAGTGTTGTGGCACCTTTTAGGCACCTAGAAAAAAAAAATCACAGGAACATCATGGTGATCCACAAAGCCCAAGTTGGGCACCTGGGCTCCCTGTACAATGAATCGAGGGAGAGAGGAACCTTAGAATGCGAGCCTTAAAAGCCAGCACACTAGGCCGGGAGCTGCCTAAACTAGGCAAGATGGCAACGAGAGGTATGACCTAAGCCCCTCCTCTCTCTCAGAGGGAAGCATCTATCTCTGCTTAGTAACCCACACACAGGAACCTGTCTCCTGGAATAGGGTGGGGCTTTGGTGCCTAAGCGGTTTCTTGAAGGAATGAGAGAGGTGCCTGCTTTGCTGGAGGAGGCAGCAGTAGCATCTCCCACCTTATAACTCAGTGGTTAGAGCGCTTACCTGGGATGTGGGAGAGCTTGGTTCAATTGCCCCCTCTCTGCCATGGGGAGAAAGGATTTGAACACGGGTATCCCACTTTCCAATAGAGTGCTCTAAGCATCTGAGGTGTAGGATATTCTGCTGTGGGGCTACTGTTACAGCTTCATGGTAACTGCACCTGTGTGACCCCTCTGTCTCTAGAAGGCACCCACATAAGGTGTCCAGCTCCAGCTGTCACCTCTCTCCAGCCTGGTCATGGTTTTAAGGCTGCATAGCTCCCTATCTCATACCTTGATGTGCCCAGCAAGCCACTCTGCTTAAGGGCCAGTGCCTGTGCGTTGCTTTCTCTGAGGGCTATGAACAGGGTGGTGCCAGCCAGTTACAAGTGACCACACTACTCCTTCTAAGCAAGCACTTTTGTTCTTAAGGGAAAAGCATTACAGAGAAAATTATTAAATAACAGAAGTTTCTATACACATGCTAAAAGCTTACTAGAGGTTATCAGTCTGTCTTATGGGTGCTTGAAGGCCAAAGGCCTTCCAACCCTTCTGCAAAGGTTGGGGCCCTTGTACAGAAGGTCCTGTCCATTTGCTGGATCAGAAAGAAGGTTCTGAGTCTGCCTAAGCAGGGGCTTTTTAAGGAAAAAGCCCTTCAAATTTCCTAGTCTCTGGGAACTCAGCTTGAACAAGTATCTGTGAACCTTTACTGACACACACTCTCTCTCTCTCTGTCCCTGAGGGAGCTGCAGTAACCCTCCTCCCAGAGAGTAACACACACTCAAATAATCCCTGGCCCACAGTACTACAATATACAACCACCTCCCCCCAAAGATACTGCATGTGGTTGCAATACTTGTCACAGGGCTCCTTCAATCTCTCGGTGAAGCTGTTCCTCTGTGGATAAATAATGAATAATTGCAGCAGGGGGCCTAGATCCTGGCTCTCCGGTGGCCCAGCTGGGTACCCCTACCTCCAGGCTACAAAGTCATTCTGTCTCTTCCTCTGTGGCCCAATGACTTTTCCACTGTAGATAAATACTTTACTTAATTACTGTATTTATCCACAGGGGAAAAGTCATTGGAGCAGAGAGAGGCGTGGTTAGGGTACCCACAAGGGAGGTGGGCAACCAGGGTCCAGTCCCCCTTGTCCAATCACTCTCATTATTTATCCAAAACAGCTTTAACATGAGATTGAGGGAGATCCACATCAGAATAGCTCAGTGATTAGAGCACTCTCCTGTGAGTTAGGAGACTCCTGTTCAAATACTTTTTTCCTCTCAGGCACAGGGGGAAATCGAATCTTTGTCTCCCATATCCCAGGCAAGTGTTTTAACCACTGGGTTAAAAGGTATAAGGTGGGCACTGCCCTATCCTCCAGCTAGATTCTGAAAGGTGCTGATCTGGTAGGTGGCCTCAGCACACCTGGCTTGGCCCTGTCCATGAGATAGGCATCTGCCAATCTTCCCCAATTAGTGGATTGCTCTAGGGCTTAGGCTAGAGATAGGGGTCCAAATACCTAGAGTTAGTTAGTGTGCATGCTCAGAGACTGAGACTTAGGTGTCAAGGGAACTTTCACCAAAAAACTTGGGTGCTGGAGGAATTTAGGCACCGACAGGGTTTGACAGCAGTTTTGTGGATTGCAGCAGAGCCTAAACATGAGACTGAGGCACTTAAGTACCTTTGTGGATTGGGGCCATAGAACCCAATCTGGTCAAGTTTTTAGTGCCCTCAACTCCTACTGAAGTTAATGGAAGTTAACATTTAGGCACCGACAGGGTTTGACAGCAGTTTTGTGCCTAGAAGAAATGCTGACTTCTGCCCCATCTTAGATGAAAACAGATGGTTTTGAGTTTTTATAATCCACTTGGTTGAGTAAGTCTTGCCCTTGCAATTTGTGTTTGCAAACATCTATAACTGAATTAATTCCTCCTAACTGAGTCCTTCACTATTTCATTTAAAAACAGCAAAGATAGTGTAACTTGACTGTAAAAAAAGATGATTTTCAACAAAATAAATTGTGTTAAATTGCAAACACACCATCGACGCATGAAGCTAGTTTGTCTAGGTCAGGGGTTCTCAAACTTCATTGCACGCCACCCCCTTCCAACAATTACTATACGACCTCAGGAGGAGGGACCGAGACCTGAGTTTGCCCAAGCCCCACCTCCCTGGGTGGGGGAGCCAAAGTTGAAGCCCAAGGGCTTCAGCCCCAAGCAGGGGGCCTGTAATCTGAGCCCCGCCACCCAGGTCTGAAGCCCTCTGGCTTTGGTCCTGGCACTGGGAGGCTCGGCTTGGCTCGGGCTTCGGTCCTGGGCCCCAGCAAGTCTAATGCCAGCCTTGGCAATCCTATTAAAATGGGGTCCCGACCCACAGTTTGAGAACCGCTGGTCTAACTGGTGTAACAAATATTAGCGTTAGGCTTGTTTAAAGAGTCACAGGAACACAAATCCCAGATTATATCCCTGTTTTTGCTATAATGATTTAATTCTTCTGCCTGATTTAAATCTGTCTGTCACACTTTCAACCTAGATGAGTAATTCACTCATCTTTTCTGCTGTCACATTTTATTATACTTGGGTATTACAAAAACCCATTTAGGCAAGGAGGATTCCTACCCAAGTCTCTGAGCACATTTAGACTCACAATAAAACTCAAGAGATGCTGTCTATATTTCAAATAAAGGAAGAAAAAGTGATAAAAAGTTCTAGAGATGGTGGTGTGATGTAGGACTTAAAAACCAGACTGAAGCTCACTAACTGCATTATTTTATTAATATAGTTAAGTACAGGTAAATGGTTTATATTTACTGGTAGTCATTTCACTGCAGGGGATAGCAGAC